GGGCTGAATCTTATTTTCACAGCAGAACTGACAAGAAGTCACCATAGATGCCATTGGCTGGCGATTGCTGAGTCCAGAAGGTCCTTGTGTGCAGAAACATCTCTCTTCATGGCATATTTGCGTTCTTACGTAAAGGTGGCCTGAAGCAGAAGAGATGAGAAGGAAGTAACAGCTTAGCTGTAAGTGAGGACACTGGCTACACCTCTTATTTCCCATTTACATGTGTGAGGCAGCTTCCAGAGCTCCCTACATTTGTATCAAAAGTGTGGAGACTCTTATGTTATTTGTCTTTCAGTTTCTGGACCTTGAAGGATGAATTTGGGTCATGTTTGCAAGTTTATGCTTTGCACCATAAAAGCTAGAGTAGTTTTTGTTTGGTTGGATTATACAGTGCGTGCTAATTCACAAACCGTTGCTCACCTCCAGGAGCTGGGACTTCAGCAAAAAGGCCAGTTATTATGAGAGTTGATACCACTGAAATCTTCCTATTCCATTCTTGCAAGTCAAGTGATTTCATGGTTATGTGCAAGTAGTAAGGAGTGGAGTGGGCCAATGTTCTGAGCCTGCTCTCATTTTAATGAGCACCAACTCACACAAGTAATTCCCTTGATTTTTAATGGGATTAACTGCATGATCATTTGCTGATCACTGTAAGAAAATCATAATCTGGACCACAAGTTTTATAGCAGATCTTCTAAATGAGTTTAGCACAGAAGCAAGAAGGAAGCTGCTCAGAGCAGAAGGCAGGACTGCGTGCAGGATTTACGTAGGAAAGCTGTTGGCAAACCCAGAGCAGTTTGGAGAGACAAAGCCTGGGGGGTGATTTAGGTGGTGAGTTATTTGTGGACGTGCATCTGTTGTGCCAGAAACAGGAGTGGGATGTGTTTGTTCAGCCTGACTCCAGACCTGCTGCCCAAATGGGTGGGAAGCTCACTTCCCGGTTTCCATATACCCTCCCTGTTTCCAAACGGATCCCCCACCCTGTGACACAGTGACATGGTAACGGATTTCTTTCTGCTCATCACACTGGTCATACAATTGGAGGCTCCCCCATGGTGGGATTCACGTACTAACACTTGTAAACAGATGGACTGAGTATGAGCTCCCCCAGGTTTGCCACAGTGTGTTGCCCACTTGTGTTTTCTTGCCTGCCCAAAGCCAGCTACAGCCCTAACTCCATCCTTTGGGACTCCGCATCCAGACTTCCCTTCTTTCCCTTCACACTGGGATGGTTTTACTCTTGATGATGGGATGACTTCGTCATTCAGCAAATCTTGTCCCTAAGTTAAATGTGATATATCAAAGATGCGAGCAACAACTTGCAGAGACTGCCCATGTCTAAGCAGAATAACCTGGGGCGTTAAGTGAAGGTCTTTTTTCATCAATCATATGTATATTTGCAATAATAACAATAATAATTTCCTTTAATGGAAAAACATTTGTCACAGACTGAAGAGTTTTTGACTTTCAGATGGTCTGCAGACATCTAATTAAGTGAGCTGAAAATCTGTTTATTGGTCTTTGGCTGTTAATCATCCATGTGGGGAAAGTGCTGTGACTACCAGGAGGAGTTTCGGTGGTTCAGCCCTTAGCTCCCTCCATTCCCAGCTGCTCCATTTATCTCCATGGTTAGTGTCTCCTCTTAGAGCTGGGCTGAGTGGGGCTGTTAGGTATTGGCTCAGGATACCCCATCACCTCTGGGAGATTTGGGATGCTTTATTCAGGCCCATTACTGTTTTTTTCACCCTTGCATCATCTCTGCCTCATCTTCTGCTTCGCATCCTTCTCTGTGGGTGGGAGGATACAGAATCCTGCTTTTCTAGGATTTTAGATCTAACTTGCACTGGCTTTGAATGGCAGAACTGCGTGCAGGGAAGTGCTGAGGAAGGCTCTGTGCTTCTGCTGCCTTTTGTTTGGCTTTAACATCCTGAAGGGTTTCCTGTGCTGCAGAGCTGAAGAGCAGTCATTACCTTCCAGTCTGTGTTGCAGGTTCTCCATGCCACTAGTACTCGTCCATACAGACGCTGTCACACTGGGAGTGCTTTTTTAGGTGTTAATGAGAACAGCCAGGCATAGAGGCAGGGGCAATAGTTGCTGGGCTGCAGTTATGTCCTTGCTCAGATCCTTTTTAGGTCTGTTTGGTTTCCCATGTCATGCCTGAGATTCAGCCAATAGTTTCCTCCTGAACCTCCTGCTCAGCTGCCCAGCACCAGCCTGTCTCTCTTGCTGGGGCAGTACAAATGCCAGACCCAACTTGTTGGCCCAGGGGCCGATCCAGAAGCCAGCGGCAAGTGTTGTCTGGGGTCAGGGGCTTGGAGAGGGACTGTCACACACCTCCATGGGTGCCTAACCTTGTATGGTCTTTTAGAGGAGCAGCAACTTTACTCCTTGTCTTCAGTTTTGCACAAACGTGTGCATGTTGCCCACTGGGATATTGTCTCTTATATCTAAGAAGATGAGAAATCTTCCATGCTTCCCGGGGACTTTGCATTGGGAAAGGCTGTGTCCCCATGAATTGCATCGGTGGCCTCCCGAGCGCCTCTGCCTCCCCCCAACTCCCTGCCATCCAGACCCTCCCAGTGGAGGCAAGAGCTGGGGCGGAAAGTGTAGTCTAGGAAAGTTTACCCAAACTCTTCCAGCTGCAGTTTATTGTATCTATTTTGCTGATATCCACCCTTTAGGTAAATAGTGCTAAGTTATACACATTGTGACTCTCTTGATGTGGTTAAAAAGGCTTGTATTAACCAAGCTAGTCTAACTCCAAGAATAACCATGGGAATTTGACTGTATCGGTTCCAGCTTGAATCAGTCACTGTGTAGTAAAGTGAGAATTGCTTTCCTGGCTAAAAGTGTAGCAACAGTGAAATTTCAATTGGTGGGGATTCCCCCCGCCCCCTTTTTTTTTTTTTTTTTTGAACAAATCTTCTGCCCGTGCCTGACCTCAGACACCCGGAGCTCTACCTACAAGTAAACAAAATTTCCCATTTTCAATAAAAAACGTGTCTCTCTAGGCAGAAAAGTGAGTTAGCTAACAATCCGCAAAGCCTATGGTCTATTTATTTACCAGGCTGACTCCCTGATGGGGAAACATGTGGGATCTTTTAACTTTTTCTCCTGCACAGATGTTCCTTCTACTCCCGAGTTTCCTCTTGATCTTTGGTTTGCCCTACCATATGGTGAAAATGCTGGAGATGTTGTGTGTGGTGGAAGAGGAGAAGGATTCTGTGTGCTTAAAACAAAAACACTGAAAAAAAAAAATTCTGTTTTTTTCCCTATGTTAGCAAAAAAATATTTTTTAAAGGAAATCTGTTGAGCTAGCAAAACCGCTGTTAGCTCACACCCTCTCACTTTGGACACATAGCATTGATGAGATTAAATGCTGATTGATGAGCCCCCCCACCCCACCC